ATATAAACAATCAACACCGCAACACCAACAGTAATAGAAACAGATGAGATTGGCTTACAGAAGAGAAGAAAATGGGAAAAACGATTAATTACAGAACATCTAGAGAACAAGAGTAACATTGAATTTCTATTCACCAAGTGCTTGCTTCGAGGCTTGATTTACTATCTGAACCCATTTTCGATCCCCAAACTATGCTAATGATCATAATAAGTTCAATTTTTCGTTTCTTGTTGTAAACGCGCGTCATATAGAAACCTTCAATATCACATCATTTTGGCAAGCAAACTAGCGTATCTGTGCTAACCTTCCGAACCTTTTTCATTTTATTCACCTAATGAATGTTGTCCGAAAATATCATCACCCTTCCAGGAGACTAACGAAGCGTTTTGGACAAACTATGATTCGGAATCCAATCTGTCGGGCTTGGGAATGGACGATTTGCTGGATGCGAACGGAGATCACGAACAATCTGCACACCCGGGGACCGGAAGCGCAGCACCCTCGAGAGTGACCACTACCGGTTCCGTAGCTAGCAATTCCCCGGCCTCTGCCGGATTCATGCTATCCAATTTGCAATTGGGTTGGGTTCATGTGCTCGGGGCGGCTCTATTGTTAGACGCATTGTGGCTCATTCATCGAGTGTTACACACGGTGGACACGGCGGAGAGAATACTGTACGGAGACACAATGTTCATTGACCTGACTGCCGAAGGTACTATATCTTGTCCTTTGAATTATTGATTTGTTTTATGATTACTCATAAGTGTTGTGCTCCGAAGCTTGGTGGTTTAAAACTGATATGGACTATTTTTAACGGTATATTCATCGAGATAAATAGATTGAAGCCGTGATTTATTCGTGCATCCGCTTGTATTTTAGTTTCGAATGCCAGCGAGATAGAATTTTGTTTGCTGAACGACTGAGATCAACGGTCATTGAGAATAGGGAGTGATTGCGAGGCTCAAATATGTTGTCCCCTATTCTGATGAACAGGGCCAACATATCGAATAATGGTGATTGTATCGATAAACAGTCGGATACAAATCGATAAGAATACAAATATCAAGTTGCAGAATGTAATATCTTAAATCGGTGCGATTCGTTGAACCCGAGAAAAGTCGTCCATATTAAACGGATTTCTGCATTTGCAAGAAAAGATACCGAACATCTCTCAATATGAATCATGTGTTTTACTTTAGGGCAATGTTGTAGAATGGGATAGAACAGGCGGATTGAGTGTGCTATTGTAATGGCTTTCATTTTATCATTTTTTATCTGAAATACTTATAAATTTCTGTGGATAGTTGATTGGTGGTTACGCTGCAATTGACCAATTCATGTGTTCCTCCACGGAACCTGATCACCCAATCAGACCAACGATCGTGGCGTTTACTGGCACCTTTTTGGGGTGTTTTTCAATCAATAAACCCATTGCTGCTTCAGTTGCAATTGTGCTTGAAAAGTCTGTTCGCTGTGAGAAGCTTTTCTTGTCTGCTCTTGACCTACAATCAAAGCTCTTTATTTTTATTTGATTTGTGATATTCAAGAGTGCATATTTCCTTTTATTAACCGATTCGCCGACCTATTTTCTCTACCCGGCTTTTTTTCTTACAGGGATTCGAAAGCGATTGGCGCAGAAGAGTCGATTACGAAATGGCTGTAAACATGCGTTTGAGACGGTATGTACACGATGATTATCCTCACATCATGATTGGTGTCCGTACCTTTTATATTTATCTGGTGTGTCTCATGTCTCATATCCAATATATCCCGGTACATATATTCCGTGTTTTCTGTAATCGTGCATGTTATGAAACGTAATTCGGATGATAATTTCCTATATTCTGGTGCTCACCCGCACATACTTTTTTCTAGGCTATGCAACCTGGTGCAGTGCGTAAGTTATGCGGTAGCGTGCTTGCGCTTCTGATCGTCTCGCAAGCTGCGGCTCATCTGGATCGCTTGCTATCCCAAGACACTTTGGACTATATTGGGTACTATGATAACCTGGTGAGTTGGGATATGGTGCATGATTTCAGAACTGTTTTATCAGTTGCTAATGTTTTATTCGCGTGCGAATCTATCATTTGTTCTTCTCAACAGGAACAACCTGACCGTCTCGTTGAGCATTGCAATAACGGTTGTTAAGTTCAAAGAATCATTACCTCAACTTAGGGGTTTGCCTGTTGGTCATTCAATCCCACTGTCCAGTGTTTACATATGCTACATAGTACCTTATGAGAATTGTTCAATAAATTGCGTCAGAGTACATTTAACCGGCATTCAACAGATAAACTACTTGGGTCATGTTTCGGTGCTATAGGTTTGTTTCTATGCCTTTTCCAGATACTGCCTGTCCATTTACATGCGCGATTGGTTAATGTACATGTGAGCAGATCTGCTCAGCGATTGAATCAGTATGATGTGGCCGGGTTGGAATCAGAAGTGAGTCGTCGATTACGTGAGGCTCAATTCCTTCTGCACCAATGGACTGCCTGGCTGAAAGATATTGAACAGGAGCAGTGTCGTCTATTGCTCGCGTATAAGGTAAATGGCGTTTCTCAAACTTTTGTTTAGTTCTTGTACTACACCGTATAGGACTTCATTTGCAAGCCAAAACCTTGAAAGCGGTGGTTTGAAATACATGTGACAGAATAACTAACTTGTAACTGCCCAATCGGATAAGCAGTGCACCCCATTAGGAACCTTTCTTTCATGAAAACGTTTGCAGTTAATTTTCAAACCTTGTTAGCTCGCTTTCACCTCTAGGGAATGCGTTTGTTCGCAGCTTTGGGACACGGAAGGCTATTTGCTTGAAAGCCCCGCTGAATCTTCCTAAACCAGCTTTGTGGAAAACATTATAATTACAATACTACAAAATGTATTCCATCGATAGAAAAACTCTGCTCAAATTTGATGGTCCGCCACCAACTTATCGCTCCGGAGGATACGTATTCAAATTCCACCTCCACCGGCTGACTTCCCTCATTATGTGTTAAATGGCAGCTCTGTGATTGACCACTTTCCTTCTGCTGGAAATTATAGAGGTAAAGAAATAAAAATGCGGCGTATTTTCACGATATCCATCCAACACGTGAACCGTAAATGCCTATCTGAAACGTGATATTTATCATAAAAGACGCAATAGTTTCTTTCAGCTGTTTATGGTAAATACATATGTCATTTGGATAGTACAGAGAACAACACGATCTCCTCCAAAGACCATGCAGAAACTACTGGGGTACAACACAATCCTCTTCGAGAAATTGCAGTGTATCATAGACACCCACACCTTTCTCTCCGAGAGATTGCATGCACGCACGATGTAGTTGACCGCAGCACAGTTGCGGAATGACCTAGCTTCGCCTCATATCACAATGACCACAATCTTGAAACGCTTCTCTGCCTGATGTGACACAAACATGGGTAGAGTGAAGCACTATTTGGACACAGAGGTTCCGCTGACCCGTAACCACGTTGCGGTACGTGGTACCAAACAACGTGCTTAATTCAAAGCTAGGACTTCTACTAGCTTGGGCACAGATTACCCCGCAAATGTGGGTCTATTTGCAAAACAGGAACGACAACCTGGGAGGTAAGGCAAAAGCGGGTCGTGATGTGCAGCAATAACCACGGTTCATACAGTCTTCTGGGGTTAAAAGGTCCTGTGTGATCTTGCAAATGATTGCGAAATTAAGAGAACCAACCAATCAGTGAATTTGCAAATGGGGGTAACGACAGTACGACGGTTCCAAATTGCTTGGAATGGAAAGTAACAAAATAACTGGAAAATTATACAGCTATAGGGATGACTACTGTCTGTACCAATCCCTTTTGGGAAGGGGGGGTGAGAATTCAAAATGTGCTGCATCCTCAGCAATGTGAATCTGATAGTATTACTGACAAAGAAAGATTCGGTATAATCCAAGGAGTAGTAGATAGTTTAAATTTGAATAAATAAATAGTTCTTTTGATGATAAGCAAAGCAAATAAAACTTGGAGTGAAATAGTATGAAGCGCTGCACAAGTGTTTGACCTATTTAAATCTCGAGCAGCAATGGAAATGCACAGACCCGTTCAACAGCTTGTTAGTTTCGGAATGTTGTTGATCGAGTCCTAGGGCCCGGAGATGCGTGCTAAAACAAATGAAGCAGGATCCCCACAACAAGCTTGCTAAGATGAATTTAGCTACATATTCTTTGTAAAAACAGTGCGAAAGCGCACTAATCTGCCGCTCTATGGACAAGTGGGTTGGTGGCTAGTTTGGCTTACGTTCTACCTGTCAGGTCTCGGGAGTGGATCTTTACTTGGGTCCAACTGTTTCTACGGCTTACGAAACCCGCAAAGGTCGAGATGATTGTGAAGCGGTTTCGATGTTCTCAGTTCGTCTCCATATGTTTAACCTGACCACAATCTGCAATCTGTACATCTCAGATTTAGCACGTTATTCTGGGCTAAACACTTAAGTGAGGCGACAGAGTCGTTAGTCCGGTACTATATCGCGTGCTGTGTCGAAGTATCTGATACTTCAAAAAGCATGTTATCATTTCTTCTACGGTCAAAGTGAACGTTTTATTATAAGAATTGCTTAGAATCTCATTCTTAGCCCCTTAGGATGTTTACATATTTGATTAGTTTCTTGACAAAAGTGGTCTAATTTCACGTAGAATTCCGGGTAGGAGATAACAGATAATGAAGTTTATTTGTGTAAGAATATAAAATATGCTAGGTTTTCCGCTTGAGAGATTCAACAGTCGGTTTACACACGACGTGAGACGGAAGGGTGTTTCAATTTCTGCATACTCTGACGGCAAAACATTGACACCGACATTCCAGTCGATACATTGCAATCAGTAACTTGAAACCATGTCCCCTAAGGTGTATGTTGGGCCAGAACGTGAGCAGCAGCCGTTATAGATGGTTTGGGTTATGCAGTATTTGATATTCCAAAATCAAGTTTCCTCCAATTCGGCGGTGCTGAGCAGAATATAGTCCCAATGATCGTTATCTCTTCTCCTAGATGAGGCAGTTCAACCCCTTGATAATCTTAATGGCAGTCCCCTATGGACGCTCCAGCATCTTACGATCACGTTGCAATCATGGACTCTTAGCTTGGTGGGCATACTCTGTAAACGATCGAATGTATAGCAAACGTGGGAACAACACTGATTCAAATCGACCAAAGACTTTCTTAATCAAGCCGGCATTCTTCACAGCAGCGAAAGAAGCCTTGGTGCAATTGATGGATTAGCTTAAGTCCTCTTGAATAATTATACCAATGTCCTTCTCACTTGAAGTGTGTGATAACTGGTGATTTTCCAGGAAATACGAAAATCTACTCTTATAGCGTTTGGACAGGACGTTAATTGTGATTGCATAATGATACCAAGACACTCATAATCATGCAGAGGTCATTTGAGTTCTTTTTATTCATTGTTTTATTTCCCCAGTATCTCTGAAATGTAGATTCACCGCATTTTATTGGTTCAACTCTATTCATTATCTTTCCTGTGTCGTTGAAAAGGCGTCTGCACAACAGGTTCGCACTAAAATGGCTGCAAAAATCAATCGCAATCCCGGTTTGAGCAAACTCCAACTGCCCATTCATGTGATTCATAGTCAGACACAGCCTGGACCGGGTTACGGCCACGCATCAGGCGTGTCCGGATGGTCTGAACTACGTGCCGAAGTGGGTGATTCCCATCGGTCAGCCAATCCCGAAGCTCTGGTGCCTCGACACTGTCGACTAACCCAATCGGAACAGGAATTGGAATTAGCCGAGTCCCGGCAACTGGATCCACCGCATTGTCCATTGAATGCAATCGTACCCGTGCTATTTGAAGGGTAGGTCTATAAATGGTGTAATAAGTCAAAGAAAGCAATCACAACTTCTTTTCAATTCGACGAATTTTAAAACGGTATTTCTGAATGTACTGCACAATTAAAATGTTAGATAATGTCAAGTGTTGTGTATGCATTTGTGTGAAATCAGAGAACATGTTGTTACGGTTGGTGGAATTTTCTCGCCCTACTGTGGAGAATTCGGGTTTTCATGTGTCTCACAGTTGTCTTACCATACAAAACACTTAGTTAACTTCCTCTACTACCACTAATCCATTTTTACTTCAATTCATCTTACCCTACTTTATCACTATCGGAATTTTTAGAGGCATGTGCCGGTTTCACGAAAATCTTCATGTTGCATGGGTTTTTTCCATAACACCCGTTTTATGCGTTGAGGGCGCACTGCTATCCTTTTCATAACTAAAAGCGTACTTCAAAAGAGCAGCATGTTGGTTCGCGTGGTTTTCTAGCGGCTGATCCACTGCTCGTCGGATTCGTACGTAACCCAGGGTTATATGCTCGCCGGTCATTTTCTCTTTGGCTTTTAGACCACGCAACGAACCTCATTCGTCCCCTAAAGAACAGATGTCTTCGCACGCCATACGCCACGTCTTCGATGGTTTTAGACCTCAGTGAACCCTCAACGTATCTCGTGGTTCGCGGGAGGGGTGGTAGTAGTCAATGATGCATGCTTCAGCTACTCTGAATCACTTGTGAGAGTTGACTGAATGATGTAGACCAGGACAAAAAATGTATCCCAAATGATACTACAGGTTATCTGCTCATATATTGTTCCTTTCATGATGTTTATAATGTTCTATCGTCGTATGCACTGACCGATTGCAGTGTACCTGAAGTTAAGGATCAATTCTACCAGGATCTTTCTCAAATACTCCAAAGTGCTCGATCAACGGACGCCGTAGTAGTCGCCGGAGACTTCAATGCTCAAGTGGGATCCCTCGA